CCCCGCGTGCTTACGCGGCTCAGCAGCACTTTCACCCAAAGGACGAGTCAGAGGAAAAGGCGGATGCGTTCCGGGCAGGGCGCCCGAGTCAGTGTGACCAAAACCCGGCAAGAAACCCTAAGAGTCTGGAAGGAACTGGAGCTCGGATGCTGCTCACGACCTTCCCCAAACCAAGTAAGAATTAAAAACAGAGGCCGAGTAATCAATCACATAAGCTGTCACTACTTTCGGGCTTCGTATTTCAAAAAGTAATTTAGATGTTATCCCTCCAGGCGACTGAACACTGTTTCTTTCCATAGGGCTTTCCCTGGCGGAAGCGCACAGAGGAGAGCAGACAACAGATAACGCGACGGAGGGCGTGCGGGCTGCTCCCCTCTGGGCGTCACACCGCCTTTCAGAAGGGCATGAGGGCACGTGACTAGTTTCTCTCAGGCCAACTGGGTACGTGTTCTTCTTAAAATAATCATATTCTAAATTCGTGTTGCAGTTAAAATTTTTGAAGCCCTTTCAGGAGTGAGTATCGTGGTTCCCTGAATTGGGAGGCAGGTGTCTGGGCCATGTTCCTAGCGCCTATAACCTTGATGCTTTCCCATCTGCCCTTGTGCGTAATCCAGACACCACCCAGTGGTGTTCCAGACGCCTCTGGTCCCGGGCCACCCACTCATACGCCGGTCGCCTCGCCTTGGTCTCTTGCCTCCCTTATGGCCCCTCTCCCTGATCTCGGGGGGAGTCCTGCTCCCAGGGGCACGTTTTTTCAAATACAAACCAACTAGTCCAGAATCTGCATCCTCAACTGTCTCCCTTATCAGGCCCTCACATCCCGGGCTGCTGTTCACCTGCCCTAATTACCCCAGAGCCAGACACCAGACAGCAAGGACCACCCACCGCCACACCCCAGAGCTGCTGAAATTATTCAGACTAGCCAGCCCTAAGCCTGCCTCCCCCACTTCGCCTGTTCCTTCCAGTGGGAACCAGAGAAGGGCTCTTGCACACAGTTTCTCCCTCTGCCTCATGTCTGAGCCTGGAAATTGCCCCCGTGGCCCTGTGGCGGGCGCCTGCTCCCTCTCCTGCAATCTGTGAGTGGCGTGAACTGTCCTTTCAACGGCAGTTGTCTCCTGATCTGTGGGTCTTCTCTTTCCAAGAAACAACAAAGTCTATTAAAACACAGGACAAGTAATCTAGCAGAGGCTGAGGATGGAGGCCCACAAGGTGCAGACTTGGCTGCAATACTTTGCAATAGGTTTTTCCATCTTCGAGCCCCAGGCTTCATCCCTGCACGACATTCTGGTGGGATGTGGGGTGAAGCGAGGGAAAGATGTGCCTTGTCATTCCTCAGGCCCTGTCCGCCTACTTGTCTTGGGTGGGCATTTCCAGTCCTTGGTCGGGACATTTTTAAAACTGTAGTTACAAAGCACTAGTACGTCGCAGTCCCTGATTTCCCGATTATGAGCAGACCTCTTTCCACTGAGCTGCTGTTTGTGACTGCCAAGACTTTGAAAGTGTTTGACTTCAGCTTTACTTCCCGCATGCTGGGTCCACATGTGTCTGTTTTACTGTTTCCTAGGCTTAGCGCAACGTCTTGCACAAAGTAGATGCTGGCTAGATACTAGCTGAACAAATCAATGGATGAATCATTCAGCTATTGAACCTGGCTGTCTCAAAGCCACCCAAAGTTTAGAAGGGTTGTCTGGAAAGGACTCCATGGGTTTCTATGGTAGGCTGAGTAATGGGGGCCCCACAAGGTATCCATCTTTGAACCCCGGGAACCTGTGGCTGTTACCTTACATGGCAAAAAAGGTGTGACTTCACTTTGCAGATGTGATTAGGTTAAGAATCTTGAGATGGGGGCAGTGTATAGCTCATCGGTAAAGCGCTTGCTTAGCATGCACGCGGTCCTGGGTTCAATCCCCAGTACCGCCCTCAAAAAAAGCCCACCTAATTACCCACCCCTCCCCCCCAAATCTTGAAATCAGGAGAGATTATCCCGCATTATTTGGGGCCCCTAAATCCAATCACAAATGTCAATAGAAAAGAGGCAGAGGGAAATGACAGCACAGAAGAGGGGGAGGCAAGGTGACCAAGGAGGCAGACATCAGAGTGATGTGACTGCAACCATGGAACACAAAGGAACTTGGATACGGCAAAGAAGCATTTCCCCCAAGAGCCTCCGGGGGGAGCGTGGTCCTCCTGACAACTTGATGTCAGACTTCTGGTCTCAGGAACTGTGAGAGAGGACAGTTTTGTTGTTTTCAGCCCCTAAATTTGTCATAATTTGTCACAGCAAACTCAGGAAACCAGTATAGTGACTGAGGGAAACTTTCAGGTGTTCCTTTCTGGAGAACTCTAAAAAAAGCAAACAAAAAAAAAGAAAACAAAAAAACCCAAAACACCACGGTCACATACTGGAGTGGCCAGGTGACAGGAAACAGATTTGATGGTCTCTAGAAGTTCCTTTCTAAGAACTTTTCTTTGATTCTAAGGGAAGCTTGGTCACTTGGCTTCAGTTTCTTTCCTCGGGTAAATGACATGGGTGCGCTTGCAGGAAAGGCAGGCAAGGACACAAACATTCTTGGCCAGATCTAGAGCTCCTGGAGGCTCAGGGTGTCCCAGCTGCTATCACTGTTAGCCCATTCTCATGACTGCCAACTATCACTTAGACAAAAGGGAGGACATGACATGCCATCATTTCACAGGGGTTGCATTTCTGTGTCTACTGAGCTAGTGTTGGAGACAGTGGATCAGAGAGCTCGTTGACCTGGGGGGCGATGTTTGAAGGTAAAGGAGATATGAAGGGGATTTTTAATAAAACCGTAGTCAGTCTTGGTGATGATATTAGCATTTTGTTTTATGTGATGTTTTCCTGCTTTTTGGGATCAATTAGCATATTAATAGATCACTGATGATTGTTGCTGTTGTCTTGAAAATCAGTTCAAGTAAGATGAGCAGAAGTGTCTCAAATCTTGATAAAAAAAAACTGAGCCTTAAATGTGAAATAAACTTAAGGAAAGTGCAGCTTTGGGTAATCATTTGGGTATGAATTGTTGGAATTCTTGGGGTCAGAGTCACAAATATGTCCAAATAATGTCCTGTATTTTCTTGTCTCCTAGGCAACTATTAGAGCACCTTTGAGTTCTTTTTTGAAAAAACTCGATGTCTTATGTAACAAGCTGGCAGTTAAGAAGACAGAACATATGACTCCTTCACCCTCATTTAAGAAAGGCACAATTTGGTCACATAGATGGTGTAGAATGTAAAACTCCACAGAGAAGTACACCTAGCTTCAAGCGACACGGAGTCCATATACAGCATGTTAGTGAAGTTTACTGACACAACTTTGATGCATTATATTTCTTTCTTTAATATAGAACTTCTTTTACAGGACACCGCCCTCACCCGCAAGCTGAGTTGCTAGGTTATCACTTGGTCTCATTGTATCTTCAGCTTCTATTCCGTGTCTAGGTTTCATCCAATATCTGCAAAGCTGCCGTATCTAGCAGAGTTTAGCCATTCTCCATCTAGAGAAGCTCTTACAGAGGACAGCCAGCTGTGTCCCCCTTACAAGGGAGGTCAAAGTGCCTCTCCTCTCTTGAGGCAGGTTTATTTCTGACTCTGACGCCTGCAGGACACACTGTGCCCAGCTAGGCGGCCTCTGAAAGGCCTCCAGGGGAGTCCAGCTTACCTTTCTCCCTCCAAGTCAGGTCTAGTGGGAACTTGGTGTTTCAGCAGATGCTCTTCATAAGCTTTGTTTTACGTTCCTGGAATTCCCTCGGGAAGTTAGCCTGTGCCTTAAAAACGTAAGCAGGTGGCCAAGAATTTTTATAATTTCTCAACCAAGGGAATTGGTTTGTTTAGTAACACTTCTGTATTATCATTACCAGCGGGAAGAGTGATGTGGGCAGAAAGTACCTCCTAGGCTTCCGGTGCGTGACTGTGGTACTCGCTGTGGAAGACAGCACGAGGTGAGGAAGGCTCCCTGGAGAAGGTGCTGGCTAGGTTCAGATGTGTTTGGTTTGCACGTCAAGACGAGCTGGAGCCCTGCAAGTGGACGCGAATGCCTAGGGGTGGACTGCACGGTGAGACGTAAGGTTGTTTGTCACCGAATCCCGAGGAGCATCCACAGGCCAGGATGGAGGGGGCGTCCAGGCCAGAGTGAAAGTGACCAAAAGAGGGAAACACTGAGGAGAGCCTGCTGTGTGTCAGACACGGTGCTGAGAGCTGGGCTTTGAGAGAGGCCTCGCCGAAGAATAAAGCTGACAGTGTTTAGATGATAGAAAATAGTCAGACAAATGCATCTTGGGCACGGAGGCCACTGGTGACTTTAGGAAGAGCCGTCTCAGTGGGGCGGTGGGAGTCGAAGCCAAATGATAGAGGCTTGAGGATGAAGTGGGGGATAAGCAAATGGAGTGACGAGCGCAAACAGCCTTTTGAGTGATTTGCCTGTGACTGAGGAGGACAGAGTTTGGATGGTAGGTGGAGGGGCTCAGGAAACAAAGGGGGAGATGGTGTCAGCAAAATGGAGGAAGGAACTCTGAATTCTACCCTCCGTAAAAACAGTGAGAAGCTGGCAAAAGTATCAGAATCAGTATTTTGGGAACTCTGGAAGTGAACCAAATGCTTGCAGCAACGTGGGGAGTGCTTACATAAGAGAAATGCTGATTCTTGCTAGTAACGGATGACTCTGTGGCATTTTAACTTCCTTATGTCTTTGGAGGTTCCCAAGTCAAGTGCCAGGGTACCAGGATAAGGATGGTCTCTGACGTGAACACTGAAATAGCCAGCAAAGATGGCAGGTGCTGAGATGGGGAGTGAGATGGGATCTGATGTTAAAATGTACTCTTCCCATTTAGATTTGAGTTTTTACTTCATGGCAGGTGACATGGAGCCACAGAAGTTTCCTAGGATTCTGAAAACCAGGCTGACTTGGATTTATTTAAGAAACCTTAGCTAAAAAGCAGGGGTCCCAGGGCTGGCAGCGGTTTTATTTTTTATTAAATTCATTGCACTTCATTACCAATCAAAGGGCACTTTTGCATACTTCCTTTGCCGTCGCCATTGTGTCAGGTACCGTGTGGGGTACCAGTGAGATATAAAACACGGTGCCAGGGGTCAAAGCTTAAATCTGAGTTTGAGAAACAGAAAAGCGACACACATGAGATATAATACAAGGAATCACGCACACTAAATTTTGTGATCCAGACTCTGGGTCCTAAAAGCGTTTGAAGAGGGAAGAGACCAACAGTGGGTATTAAAGACGACGCAGAGAAACCGTGACAAGCTGAGGCTGGATAAATGGGTATGATTTGGAAAACGGCTAGGGAGGAAGAAACGTGTTACTGGCGGAACAAATCACCTAAAAGAAAGCCCAGAAGTGTAGGTGAACATGGCGTGTTTATGTACGGAAAGAACGTGACTGGACCAGAAGGCAGGGCACGTATCGCCTTTAGAAGTTAGAGTGGGCAGTGGGAAACAGAAGAGAGCTCATGCAACAAAGAGTATCTTAGCATGACGAGCAACACAAATTTAGTTAAATTTTACTTTTCCCATACATCAAAGTAATGTAAACATGACTGTACTCTTAATTTTTCAGAGATTAAAGTTTATCTGTAATCTTTATCTTTCTTTTCTTCACTTCATTATAATGAGTTTAAACAAAACTCTTCTTTAAACTTTAATCTTTCCCAATTTAAGCCACTCTTGGTTAAGCAAATGTCGCACATTTCTCCTCATTCACAGGACGGCTTCCTCCCCGACTCCACAAAAACTGAAACAGCAGCCGACACGCCGTTTTGGTGCCTGCAGTTCCATGTCCCGTCTGGTGATCTTCTCTGCCCTACTTCGAGTGGACTGCCTTTTCCCTAAACTCTTCTTAAAAACGCTGTGGACTTATGTACCCCAAACTCCTCCAGAAACAATGCTTCTAAGAAGATGAAATGCATAATCTTTGCTGAGGGTTCACGTTAAAGTTATGTGTTCGGAGATTCCAACACCTGGCTGAATATTAACTTGCTTTTCCACACTCAGTCCCGAAATGAGGGAAAATTGACCATTTCCCACATCACTTTGCCTTTTGTTCTGCATTCATCGTTTTTCCTCTTGAACAACCTCTAAGCAAAGGTCCCAAGAGGATGCGTTTTAGCAAAAATAGTCTTTAGAACTGGATTGTTTGAGACTTGCGTGCAGTGTAAGGGAACAGCTTGCCTTAGAGGGCGCACTCTGTTCACCCTGGAAGTCTCCCTGCCGAATTAAGAACAAACAATAATGAGCAAATTGTAGCTGGAGCTTATTATGCACATATTTCTTTCTTAATTAGAAGGTGCACAACTGGGACAAATCATGTGACTATCCACAGAATAGACTTTTTTGCACCAGTAATTTTACTTTAAATCATCCTTCAAAGCTGTTATTCCAGTCAGTGTGACAAAACAGTATGAAAACCCCAGGGGCACAGACGGCTTGTCCGCCTGTTTCCCTGATGGGAAGGATGCTGTCTGGTAGCTCTGCACATCAGGAAAATGCACTTCCTGCAGAAGTTCAAAACTCTAGTCTGAGTACTGGCCGTTGTAATCTGACAAAAGGCTACAAAACCAGATATTGAGGCTGCCCAGAATGGTTCTCACTGGTGTCTGGCTTTTAATCCTGTCTCCATGGGTTCTATTCTGTGGTTGCCCAGGGCACCCAGTATTACTGACAACTGATGTAACAGAGCTAAAAGCTTGAAATTAAAAGCCTGAAATCCAATTCTATTAACATGCTATGTAATCTTAAGCAAGTCCTCAATCTCTCAGAACCTCATCAAAAAGGATAATTGTAGTTAATTTTTAGAACTGTTAGGATTGTTAGAAACACTAAAAGAGGTATAATTATACTTAGGGCAGTGTTGGATACTTAATAGAAATATAGTTAATGCTTCATAATGAAATTGACTTCATTACATCATTCAATAAATGTTTATTATGGGTCTAGCTGGGGCCAGGGGCTTACCTAGTTATTTGGGATGTCGGTAAATACAACAGCGAAGTCTTGTTCTGTTGAGGTTTGTGTCTGTGTGAACGTGTGTACGTGTGAGTGTGCATGTTGTTCCCCTGCATAATTAGCCAGTAAACAAATAAGGTATCAGGTAGTGGTTTGTACTATTTTGGGAAAAAAAACTCAAAGGATCTACGTGGAGTAGAGAGTGACAAAAACAGGGTATATTTTTAAGATGTAAAAAATAAGAAGAGTTTTTTTTTTTTTTTTTGCCTGGGATAAAAAGAAAAAGAAAGGCACGGAAGGAAATGAGATCAGGGAGGACGTGGTGGGCGGAGTTGATACAGATTATAGAGTCTCACAGTTGTTTTAAAGGCTTTGACTCTTCTTTGAGCAGTAGTTTTAGGCAGTGGAGTAATGTGATATGATTTACATCTCAAAAGGGATGTTTTTGCTGCTGCAGAGTGGACTGTACCAGAGCAGTTTTTGATTACTGGCATAATATCTTATTATAAGTATGTTCAGATTTTCTGTTTTTCTTGCATCAGTTTAGGTAATTTATGTATTTATAATAATTTGTCCTTTTTTCTAGGTTATTTAATTGATTGGCATATAATTGTCCATAGTATTCTCTCATAACTCTTTGTATTTCTGTAGGTTTGGTAGTAATGTCTTCACCTTATTTTCTGATTTCAATTGTTTGTATCTTGTCCCTAATTTTCCTAATCCAGGTAAAGGTTTGTCAATTTTGTTGATCTTTTCAAAGAAACAGAGTTTGGTGTTCTCTATTCTTTTTTTCCCCCTTTTCCCCCCATTTATCTCTGAGTAGACCATTAATTATGCATGGTGCTGAGTTAGCAAGGAATTACTGTTTAAAGGGATCTAGGCACAGAAAGTTGTCTTGGTAAGCTATTTCAAGCATTATGGGAGAAATAATTCCTTTTTTATAAAGCTGTTTCATAATGTAGAAAAGATAAGAAATGATGTTTTTCTCCTACAAAAATACACAATGTTGATACACAAATAAATACTAGAAATGCCTACATAAATTATTAGCAATTGTGATTCCAAGGCATATTAAAATCCAAAGGCAAAGCCTCCTACAATATGGTGAACACAAGACTATAACTGAAACTGAGCAGGACCCTGCAGGGCCTTCCTGGGACCAGATCTCCCCACCTCCTTGTCCCCTGACTCTTGCTTGTAGAAAAGCTTCAGCCTCCTAGGCCTTCCCCAAGTTCCAAAGAACATATTTAATCAGAGAAATGGAGAAATGAAGAAACAAAGGGAAGCAGTCAAGCAAGACAAAATCATAATTGTTTAGCCATAAACAAAGTCAAGGACCCTTAGCTCCTCCTCAAGGCTAGAGATTATATCCTGAGTCGTATGCTTGAGTTGTTCTGCAGGTACTAAAACTCCCACCAGATGGAGGAAGTTGACTGAATGCTGACCCGAGTATGAAGACCCCAGACCAGCTGGAACCAGAAGGTTGATGAAGCTGACTCCTGAAACACCACCTGGTTACCTCAAAGCCAAGCAATCAGAAGAACGTCCATGAGTCTGATCACGCACCCTGTGGCCCTCTCCCTCACCTTGCCTTTAAAAGCCTCTTCTCCGAAAGCCATTGGGGAGTTTGGATCTTTGAGCACAGGCTGCCCATTCTCCTTGCTTGGCGCCCTACAGTAAATGCTGTGCTTTCCTTCACCACGACCTGGCATCAGTAGATTGGCTTTGCTGTACATTGGGCAAGCAGACCCAGGTGTGGTTTAGTAACATAATGACGACTCACTACAAATCAAACAAGCGTTTGTATTCATAAACATGGAGACATTAACTTCTAAAACTCACCACCCAGCCCGAGAAAGGTAACAGTCAGAACAGTAGTATAGCTTCGTAACGTCAAGATTAAATGCAAAGCTGAGTCTGTAGAGACCATTAACATTAGCATCAAATTAAGAATCGATGTCATCACTGTTACATAAACATTAGCTTGGAAGTTCTGTCTTCTACAATAAGACTTGGAACAGAAGTAAGTATATAATATATTGGCAAGGAATAAAACTGATCACTTTGTAGCTGAAAAATTTTTTGACTAAAAACATCAAGGCAATCAATTGAAAATGAAAAAATATGAGGTATGAACAAAGGAATGAATTCACATTAAAAGTCAAATGGATTTCTGTATGTCAAGAATGACTAGTTAGAAAATATAACAAAAATTTAAAAGACACACTTGAATGTAGCTACAATACATGAAGTGCTTAGTAGACTCTTAGTCACTTCCTGGATCCCTTGGATGTTGCTGTTGGCAGGGTGTGCGTTCCCGGGGCTCTACAGGGAGCAGCGCTCCACGGAGATGCTGCAGAGTGACACAGCGACTTGGGGAGGCAGTCTCGCAATTTACATTAAGAGTCATTAACATATTCATGCCCATTTATTATACTAATATTACATCTAGGAATTTGTCCTGAAGAAATAATCCAAAGTGTAGGAAATGGTATATGCAGAAAAGTTTCTAGTTCCCCAAAAGTAAAGTAAAAAATTATCAAAATCCTCAGTAGTAGGGGAATAATTAAGCAAATACGGTTCCTTCTTATGATGGAATATGATCTGATTGTTAAACTCGGTGCTTAGAAACCCCGTCTTCCAACTGGCTTGAAAAGGTTCCTATTAGATGGAATTATAATTGAGGTCCAAATAGTCCCCATCAAATTACATATTTGCGACCGAGAAAAAAGAGGTTGTGGAAGGGCTCTTCCCCACTGCATCCGGCACTGATTAGTCTGACTGATTATAAGGTTGACTCCTTTGCAAATTTGCAAGGCGTGGAAGAGTCTGTGCAAGTGACAACAGGACAGATAGCTTTCATTGGTCACTCAGCGGGAGGGTTCACCTAGAATAAGCTTTGGGAGCAGGAGAGAACCAAGGTAACGCGTCGGATACACTCGGCACACACCAGCGCACGCACCGTGAATCCCATTGTGGTGAAAGGTCTATTTGTACATTTCCTCTCATTGTTCCTGTTACCTAGTCCATGCATAACACTTCTCATCAAAATTTCAAGGTACTTTGCAAATTGCGGCTCTGCTTTGAACTTGATTGCTGTGTGGTGACAGTTAAATAAAGGCTTGGGGAGGAAAAGGACATTTGCTTCTCTCTGCGCGACAATGCTGTGATCATTCTCTGGAAGCAATCACCTCATCTTGCTCGCTTCAACTCCCCTCTTCCTTCACCCTCTCTTTGTCATCGCAGAAATAGCTCCTTGGGTAAAGACGTCTATTTTAGATACCAGTATGATCCCAGATGTGTTCCTGTACGTGAGAAATTTGCTGTTCAAGAATATGTAAGGACAGCAAGAATCAGGAAAAGTAGCAAGAAAACAGAAACAGGGACCTCTTGGTGCGGCTCTCAGGGACTGGGAGGGGAGCAACGGCCCGTCACCCCAGTGAGGGCCCCGCCCAGCCCCGCTGAGCTCCCGCCCTGCACCGGACATTCAGACGTGCTGCCGACACGGTCTGATTTTAATTCTCAAACACTACCTGAGCTAAGTATTATTAAGAGCCTCATCATCCTTATTATTCAGGTGAAAAAACTGAACCGCAAGGAAGGAAAACCAGCTGCCATAAACCACGCAGCTTGTAAGCAGAGCATCTTGGGGGTAAACCCAGGTCTCTCTGCCTCCAAAATCTGAACTGACAGCTCAGTGAACACATTTTTTAGTCTTTCTTCTAGAGCGTTAGGGTTTAAAATATTTTTTTAATTAAAAATATTTAAAGCTGTTTCTGTGTGGCCTTCCTACCACTCGATCTTCAACCACCCGGGTATTTTTTTAACTTAACTTGAGTGCCTGGGAAAATATGGCAAAAACTGCCTGCCTGGTTTAATCAGTTTTAAACCTGGAGCTGGCTGACGGCTTGCGTTAACTCCGCTGTCCCCTCCATCCTCCAGCCTCCATGGGCTTCCATGTTTTAGGAAGTCTGAAAGCTCCTCACTTCCTGCGGTAGCGGACATCTGTCGTCTCCCCAGCATTGACGGTTTCTCTGTTCTCCCGCCAGCCTCAATGCCCCAGTCCAGCTGCAATTCCAAGTCTTGGCTGCAGGGGACTTAAGCCCACTGGTTATTCAATCCCCCTGGGACAGGGACTGGCTCAGATGTGGGCACATGAGCCAGTCAGAGTCACAGAGACGTGAGGGAGACCGGCCTTAGGGAAGGGGAGCTGCCTCACCTCCTGGGGCAGCCGTTGGCAGAGTCTCCCTTGTTCTGGGTGGTGTGGGGTGAGGGTGCGGGGCTCAAAGCTGCTGCAGCCGTGCGCCACCAGCAGGAGAGTCCCTGGAGCTGCCGAGGACACACCTGATGTGGGGAGTCACGGCAGAGAGAGGGAGAAGCCAGGGCCACTGGTGACATCATTCCAGCCGCTCCACAAAGTCTAATCTAAGCAGTGTGTTTGCTTCCAGACTTTTAAAGTATGTGAACCAATAAATTCTCTGTATTATGTGCATCATGCGTGGGTTTCTGCCACTGGCACCCAACTGATAAAACTGCTTTCTAGATTTCTCTATAAAGACAGTCTTCATGAAGACACTTTTGTTACTACAGTTAACTCACCTCAAAGGAGTTCAGAGCTGCTGTTTGCAGGAAGGGTAATAATTAACTGGAATAGTATTTCTGTTTGAAATACTGGAATTTATGCCTACTTTCGGATTAGCCGAAACCAGTTTTTATTTCAATAGTTCTACTGAAACACTTTCTCTAAGGACGGCGGAGTCGGCATGGACCTACAATTACTGACAGGCTGCTGGTTAACTGAGGTTTATCATAAACAATAATTTCAGCTCTTTCATTGCTGAGAGCCCGTGAGACCACAGAACGCCCCTTCTTCTGTCCAGAGGGTCTCCGCTCAGCCAGCCGCTGTGTTTGCTGAGACTGAGAGTGAATTGTTTAACCTTTTGATACCATTTTCTGTAATTCTAGGGTGATATTTGCACATGTCCTTGGCCTTTTTTTTTTTATAAACTATACAAAGCTTATTCCAGAATGTTAGTAAATGTGGAAAAACAAGGAGCTGAGGGCAGACTGGCATTTTTCACTAGTTAGGGGGCCATTTAAAATACAGTGTATCCTGCAAACATTTGGTTATAAACACTGTGACATAAAAAAGTGAGCTTAGCATTGCCTTAATATCTTATTTATTGCCATAGAAGGAATTTTTTTTTTTTTTAGGAGATGAATTTTACTGGCTTTGAACTAGGCTAGAGACATTAAAGCCCTTTGGGGAAAACAGCTCCCATTAAAAGCAACAAGACGTGCATCATGGAACACAGTGTGGTGTAGAAATAATTCAGAGATTTGCAGCCAATTAAGCTCATCATGAGTTGCTTCAAAGAGTCAGTAGGGAGCCCAGAGAGGTACAGGGAGGTTTTAAACCTTCATGAGGAGAGCTGGGCAGCCTGCCGGGGAGTTTAGTATGTTTTCTAGTCTTCCGGGAAGTGGGAGAAAGAGTGTATCATTTACACGTTGAGGGGCGTCCTGACAACGTCCTGACTCAAAATACCACCTGGACAATTTGCTTCATTTTCCACTGTGGACTCTTTTCTTCAGAAGGTAGCTGGAAATCGGGTAGGTTTTGCCCGAGAAAGGGAGAGAGCAGAAGCCTCCCCTGCGAAGCCCGCGCCGCGCACGGCCGGGCAGCGGAGGCCGGAGCCCGGGCCCGGGCCCCGGAGCCGCGCGGGCACCTGCTCCCCGAGGGCCTCAGCCGCGGGCGCCCCTCTGCCGCCGGGCAGAGATGGGGCCGGCCGGCCGGCTTCCACCAGGAAGAGGAGGCAGATGGTTACTGCGAGAAAGGCAAGACTCTCCTGAAGTGGTCTTACCTGGTACCTGCGTTACCTAGTTTCGTAAAGGCCGTGTTGGAAGAAGAAGATGCTGTTTAGAACGTGATGAACTTGGCAACGAGGAAGGGAAGACGTGACCGAGAGGCCCCAGCGGCGCAGCGCTGCGCCGCTTATTTATCCCAAGTCCCCCAGAGTTACGGCATTAACTCAGTACCTTGTGATAACCTGGAGAGAAAAAGAGTATGAAAAGGAATAGATACATATATATAACTGAATCACTATGCTGTACGCCAGAAGCTAACACATTGTAAATAGACTATACTTTAATAAAATAAAAAAAAAGTTTAAAAAAATGGCTCTCAAAAGTAAAATAAAAGCCTGACAGTAGAGCTGGTCTGGTCCCTGGGTAAGAGGGGCAGGCGGAGAAGTAAGCATGTGAAGACTGCGGCAGGGAGGATGGCTCTCTGGCGGCCCTGCAGGGCCAGCGCACGGGGGACGTCCAGGGCTCAGGGATGGAGATAGGAACTGAGAAGCCAGTGGGGCCATGCTGGTTAGGACATGATGAGCATTCAGAGAAGTAAGCATTTTAATCAGAAAGTCACCGGGGAATTTTAAGTGAAGTAACGATATGGATAATGTTTTCAAATGAACTTTATGTTTTAGCGCAGTTTGGGACTTAAAATAAATCATGAAGGTAGTTCAGGAGTTCCCGTGGTCCCTGCTCTCGGTTTCCCCTGCTGCTATCTTACAGGACGATGGTACATCTGTATTGTACTTATAAACAACACATTATTATTTTAACAGGGTGTATAGTTTTCCATGGGTGTATATATTATAACTTACCAACCTAGGCTTCTTTTTTTAAAATTTTATTTTATGAATAGTTAGTTTACAACATTGTGACAATTTCCAGTGCAGAGCACAATTTTTCAGTTATACATGAACATACATATAGTCATTGTCACATTCTTTTTCACCGTGAGCTACCACAAGATCTTGTATATCTTTCCCTGTGCTATGCAGTATAATCTTGTTTATCTATTCTATATCTACCTGTCAGTATCTACAAATTTCAAACTCCCAGTCTGTCCCTTCCCACCTCCTTCACCCCTGGCAACCACAAGTTTGTATTCTATGTCTATGAGTCTGTTTCTGTTTTATATTTAAGTTCATTTGTCTTCTTCTTTTTTTTTTTAGATTCCACATATGAGCAATATCATATGGTATTTTTCTTTCCTTTTCTGGCTTACTTCACTTAGAATGACATTTTCCAGGGACATCCATGTTGCTGCAAATGGCATTATGTTGTCATTTTTTATGGCTGAATAGTACTTCATTGTATAAATATACCACATCTTCTTTATCGAGTCATCTGTCAATGGACATTTAGGCTGTTTCCATGCCTTGGCTATTGTAAATAGTGCTGCTGTGAACACTGGGGGGCAGGTGTCTTTTTGAAGTGGGGTTCTCTCTGGATATTTACCCAGGAGCGGGATTGCTGGGTCATATGGTAAGTCTATTCCTAGTCTTTTGAGGAATCTCCATACTGTTTTCCACAGTGGCTGCACCAAACTGCATTCCCACCAGCAGTGTAGGAGGGTTCCCTTTTCTCCACAGCCTCTCCAGCATTTATCATTTGTTATCCTTGGCAGGAATTTTTATATCAGGAAATCTATCAATCTATTCTTTTACCTAAAATTAAAAGTTTAAAGTGCTATGTTTACATTACTAGATGCTAAAAATTCATTAAATAATATTAACAGCCATTCCTATAAAAAATACAAAGTAAAAGATGATGGTAGGAAATGACTTAGACACATTAGAGAATATTTTCCAAAAGAACTAACACTAAATATTTTTCTAACTTTTGAAGCAAAAATCCATTTCACTTTAAGTCAGAAACTGGAGAATGTTGCTGATCAACTCTCATTAAAATTCCACATTGCCCTCGAAGTTTCAGCAAAAAGAAAATGAAATACTTAGAAGAAACTCTGGAAAATTAGAGCCAAAATAATTTACATTTTTGCCGATCATCTATATGTATGTGTAGAAACTTTGCCAGACTTTGGGGCAGAACTACTGAAACTAAGAGGAAAAGTTGGTGAGGTGAACAGATACACGTATAGAAAAGCTGCAGCTTTTACTTCAGTCATGAGTAGCTGAAAATGTAAAGTGAAATATTTTATTCACAACAGTGAAAAGAAACCTCTACAAATAGAGACAAATTTAACAAGAAAGCCAGTGGACCTGGAAAGTTACTGAAGACGGTGAAAGATCAGAGTGAGCAGTTACTCAGCGTGTCCTAGGATGGGAAGAGTCAGGGTAATTTAACGCCAGTTCTCCCAAAACTGATGTGTAAATTTAATTTACAATTAACCTTGTAAGGGGAAAACATTTTAATGGAGTTGGAAGATTCTATCTTACAATTCATAAGAAAGGACACATACTTAAGAATAACAAGAAAAGTAGGCAAGAAAAAAAAATGAGATAGGACTGATTTTACCAAATATCAGAACAGTATAAAGTCAAAATAGCTCACTGAACAGAATAGAGATTCAAAAAAAAAAAAAATCCCAGAATACATAAGAAGATAAAACATAACATTTAATACTATGGGAAAAAGCTGATTACTTAAAAAATGGTGCTCGTAAGACACCCTGCCCATTTGCAAGACAATAAAAGTGGATTCCTATCCTACTCCACAAAGGAAAATAAACTCTAGATATATTAAATACTTAAGTGAAAAAAAAAAAAGAAATGATATGAGTCTTGTAAGGAAACATAATGGACTACAGGTAGAATATAGAAGTGAGGAAAAAACTTCTTAATGAAGACAGAAAATCCAGAAGTTATAAAAAAATACACATATATAGTTGATTTAAAATTTTTTATATGGCAAAATACCATATAATCAATCGAAGAAAATGGCAATAAATATGTGTAAAAGGGTTACTTTATCTAACACAAAGCCCTCTGAAAAATTGTCTAAATAAAATGTAACAATTCAACAGAAAAGAGCAAAGAATATGAAAGAGTAATTTTCACTGAGCGACAAATTCAAAAGGTCAATAAGCACATGAAAGGCGTCAGCCTCCAGGAGAATTTGAATGATGGTATTGGTAAGCTGGTCTTTTGTGCACAGCACTTTGGTAAAAATAGCACATTGACGGCAGGATGCGAGGAGGAGTGTGCTCTCATCACTCCTGGGCAAAATGCGAATCCTTATCACCTTTGTTTGAAAGGTATCAATAGCCATTAATAGACATACACCCACCCCATCGATTTCACTCTCCTGAACATATCCCAGCAAAATAAAGACATCAGTATGCAAGGATTGGTCTCCAAGGTGTTTATTTCATTATTGTAGCAAAAAGCTGGACAGAAACCATTCCATCAGAAGGAGAAGGGGTGTGTAAGATAGAGTCTCTTCGACTCACGGAGTTTTTCATGGTCTTTAAAAATAGTAAATCAAAACTCTATCATCTGACTTGGACACACGTGGCTGATGTGGTTAAGTGAGAAGTGCAATTGTGGAAAAGCATGAATAATGCGATCTCATTTTTATGAAAGACAGAACGTGACCTTTGTGTATCTAATATGTGTGTCTGAATAAAACCATATAAACAAAGAGAAAACTTTGGAAGGGTGCATTCTGGGTTAGTAATAGGAGTCACACTGGGACGTCAGTGGAGTGGAGACGGGAAGAAACGGGGACAAGAGAAAGAGGGAGACCACCATCGAGGCGATGGGATCCCATCTGTGCGTTCACGTGGATTATTCCTCCCCCCACCCCCTACCCCGCTCCAGCCAGCTGTGGGCCTTCTTGCCGGTTTCCCAACGCGCCAGATCAGCTCTCACGCATCTTCACCCACGCATCCACCCACGGATGCTCAGGTTGCTCCGTGTCACGGCCATTGTGACTCCTGCTGCAGTGAATATGGGGGTGCAGTTGTCCGTTGAAGGCAGGGAATTAATTTCCTTCAGCTAAATACCCAGGAGTGGAATTGTTAGATTCTGTGGCAGGTCTATTCTTAATTTTTCAAGGAACTGATGTCCGTTCTGATTTCCCACAGCAGCTGCACCAATTTACATTCCCACCAGCAGCGCCCCAGGGTTCTCTCTTCTCCACATCCTCACCAGCGTTTGTAATCTCTTGTCTTTTTGATAAGAGCTGCTCAAACAGGTGTGAGGTGATGTCTCATCGCCAACACATCTTCAAAACACGAGGCACGTGACTGTGGTGGGGTTCACGGCTGAAGGGCAAAGGCTTCCTTCCGGGTTCTCCTGGAGTCCCTCTTCACCCTCAGAGTAAGGAGGATCACACTTTGAGAGCAACTTCTAGGAATAAAGGACTGCATTTGATCATTTTAAGAAGACTTGGGCTCTCAAAATCTTAAGTTTCAATTTTAAAGCATACATTTAAATTATTTTAAATTCAACAATCTCACATCTGTTTTATGGTCAAAGCTTCATACTGAAGAATGCCAGTGGTCAGTACACACGCACGGACACCAATTCAACTTCAGGATCTTTGTTTCATCAATAGTAATGTTAGTCCTGGGAAAGCGAAAAGGGTGTGTTTCATTACGTCTTTAGGAAGGAAGAGTAGTGACGGCCAGATCATCAGTGCTCATTACTACCTTAATTACTCCTGTCACCGGCATTTATTCTTCATGAGTCAACGTACTAATTACTGTGTCTGTGTGACCAAAGGTAATAATTAGTTAAATGTATTAATCTGCAAGAGCCAGTTCCAAAATTTCCTAGAAATTCTGGAGTACATCACAAATGCTTTTTTCCCCCAGCCAGTAAGGTGATGGGTCATCTGTGGCTAGAATGCTCTTTGTCTCCTTTTCCACTACAGATAGCTTCTGCCATTATTTTCAAGTGTAAAATTGTGCCGTGTGCCGACCATGAAATTGGAGTGCTCTCCTTCTTAAGGTCAAACATGATCATTGGAAGAAATGATTGTGGGCATTAATGGGGCTCTTTTCTGAAGGGAAGATGATTAAACTTCTAAAAACGTGTACAACCAAATTAAATGAAAGGTACAAAGTGAGATCGACCAAGGCCATACGCTGGCCACGGGCCAGGCTGAGCAGCCTTGCTCACGGGACGTCTGCGGTTCACAGCTGGTGGCGAGGACCCTCAGGTCAGTTAGCTGCAAGTTTGTCAGGGGTCACAAGTGGCAGCCTGACCCGGGTCAGCTGTCTGGAAAATGCATGGCCCTTAATTATAAAAAGGCGTAGTAGGATGAATATATTAGCATAAATTCTTTTTTTGTCCCTGGAAGCACAGCTCAGAGTACTACCACCCTTGGGGGAGCTGTGCTGTGTGTACACACAGAAGTCAGTGTTCACACACACACAAATATAGCCACACACAAAAGTACAGCCACACACACACACACACACACAAACACAGTCATAGACACAAATGTGGTCACACACACAAGAGGACAGCCACACTCACATACAGTGTTACACACACGAATCCAGTCATACACACACACACACGCGGTCACACACACACTCACGTTAATGCCCACACGCAAGAACAATTAGCAGACCACTGACGCTCCTCTTCGCTTTCCCACTGCTAATGTTTCTTAATTTTCTAATAAATATGAGAACACAGCCATACTCACCGTTACACAAAAGCGTGGGCCGACATGGTTTCTGACGTAAAGCCCCTTGCGTCCTAAAGCAACCCTGTGCACAGTCACGCACACCCTTACTCACACACCATCACACGCTGTGGCGGTAAACAAGCAAGCTGCCTCTCTGAAAAGGAAAGGGCGGGTTCGTCTACAATTGATTCTTACTTTCTTCCCGTGCTGTGGGCACTAACTCGCTGCCTGTGAAGCAGCTGTGGGGGAGCAACCGGTTCCACACGGGGATAGCAAGAGAGTGAGCTTGTATCTATATTCTTGAAAAAGCCTCCTGCAGAAGCTCTGTGGTCCATGTGGGTCCCCGTCGCTGCGCCCTTGGTTGGTCAGAAGCACGGTCGTGCTGGGAACGGTCTCAGTTATAACGAACCCCTTTGGCACGATTTTCATCAATTGCAGTTGGTACACTTCAGAAATGTAAGAGTACAAAAGTCTCATGATTCTTGTCGTAAACAATGAAACAATTGTTTTAACAAGAGCAGTTGTTTTGACACGCGAGGTGAAAAACGGTAAGCATCTTCGGGGAGGTTCAGAGGGGCCTGCGGCCGCTCGGCGCAGGGCGTGGTTCACGACAAGAGTGATGCAGGCGGAGCCGCTAACACACAAGGCTTCATGTTTTTGAAGTACTTTCCAAAGTGTGTTCAAACACACCAGCAGCTGTTTCCTCAAACCAACATGTTCGTAGACAAAGAAAATGCACCTTCATCGCGTCGTAGGCGGGCAGCGTGCGCGCAGGGCGGGGGTTCAGGCGACGAGCTGACCTCGCACGGCCAGTTAAGGGACAGAACTGAATCTGTGAGCGGCTTCAGGCTGTCCTGTTTCTGATCCACCGATACTTCTAACAAACCGAAGTCAGGAGAAGGCAGAGCGAAAAGAACGGAAACCTAACTGTTCCTCCTCCTTTTTCTAACTGAGTGTGGAAAACAACTTGGCTCCAGAAAGAACATTTTAGAAAACAGAGCGAGATGTATCGGAGAGAAAATCCTGGCGTGAGCGCCAGAATATCTAAGAGGCTTGCCGCATTGGTTCACAGCGTGACACGAGGTCAGGCATTTAATTTGCCTTGTACCTCACTTTTTTAACCTGGAAAATGAGCATAATTATGTTCTCTTCCTTTCAGGGATAAAGGTGGCATGAGGCTAAGTGAGTAGCAGTGTTTCCTCTTTGTAACTTTGATGCAGAAGGAGGGAGAACATAATTTGCATCCAGTCTGGGGGCTGATGAAGCCACACCTGGTCCTCACTGCGTGCAGTTCCCAGCAGAGAGACCGGATCTGCCCCGGGCTGGTTAGTCCTGCCCTGATGAGGCTCCTCAGAAGGCAGGCGGTCAGGGCCTGAGTGGTAGATGTGCCTTCTGAGTCTTTTCTAAGGGGAAAAAAGCAAAAAAAAAAAAAAGTCCTGGCCCTGCTGTAAATTGAAGTCAGTTTTACTTTCTGCCTTATATTTGGACAGTCTTATAACTTGTAAAGCACAGAATTTAAAATTCTTTTAAAATTTACATGTAAAAACTACGAGGTTCAAAAATAATGCTCTGGTGATTAAATAAATGGTCCTTATTATTATTTTTTTAAATTGAAGTCCAATAATGTTTTCACACATGAAGCCATCAGCTCTTTTTTGAGAGACTTCCTATAAAGCCTGCACTTTGGTTCTGTTTATGTCTTAGACAGAAGTTCATTCACTGAGTGATGTGACCTGGTCCAATAGAATTTCCTTTTTTTTTAACCTAACAGATTTCTTATCCCACCCCCACAATTAATATTTTGAAGACGTTTAAAGCTTGAAAAAAGTTAAAATATCAGCAGGGAGCACCTGTATACCCTTCACTTAGATTTACAGGTTGTTAACATTTGCCATGCTTGTCTCTTTCAGTATGTCTGTACACGCACACTTCTTTTTTCTGGAACAATCTGAAAAAACTACAGACGTCTTGATGCTTTACCCCATGCTTTAGCAGGTGTCTTGTAAAAAAAAAAAAAGAACATTCTCATGATACTAATTTCACACTTAAGCAATTCTCCATTGAGTCTATCATTTAATATGCCAACCATGCTAAAATTTTCCAAGTTGTTCCAAGATGTCATTTAACTTTTTAAATTTTCTTTAATAGCAGGATCCAAGTAAAGTAAGTGAGTTACATTCAGTTATCACATCTCCTTAGTCTCCTTAGTTGGCATTCTTCTGGGGTGGGGGGAAGAATTTCTCCTCCCTTTGTCCTATTCATTATGAACCTATGAGTTCTCTCCCTTCCTCCCTTTCTTTTTAAATAACCATTTATTTTGCAGTAATTTTGGATTTACAGAAGAGTTGCAAACATAATACAGAAAATTCCCATATACGCCACCCAGCTGCCTCATTGTTAACGTCTCCTGTTACCATTGTACATTTGAAAAGAAACTGACATTGATGTATCACTGTTAACTAAACTTATGGATTAAAAAAAAATCAAATAATCCTCCACTCTCATTTTTCTTTTTGATTCTCAGATTGTCCCAAATTTGGCCAATCAGGGTTCACATTGGTCAGCTCCTGTGTCATTGCTGCATGTCACCCTTGGTCTCTGAACACTTCTAGCTTTCTGTCACATTGGAATTTTCCAGCCTCACTGTGCCTTTTCCCCGCCCAGATCTGGAATCAGTCATTTCTTTACTAATTTATATAGCCAAACTTACAAATAGTCTGTTTTAAAAATTGTATCTGGATTTTGGGTCAAAGTTAGAAAGGTTTCCCCATACTCGTGTTATAAAGATATTCACCCATATTTTCCTCCAGTATTTATGTGGTGGCTTCATTTTGATTATGACCATTTGAAATGTACTCTGCTCTGCCTGCAGAGGAAGGATGATGTCAGTGACGGGGAATTCATCATTAATCATGAAATATAACCCTGAGAAGCTGCAGCACATTTTCTGAAAAAAGTTTAAAATATTAGGAGCATGCTGAAAAAATACCAGAGACAGTGTTAGAAGCAGATAATATCAAGAAACTGACTGACACCCTTGAAAGTAACTCAGGGCTAGCTGTTTTGCTTATATTACTTTTTGATATTTAGCTAATAAATATAAAGCCTTTGAAAATTCCCTTTATTGCTTATGGATGTTATCATTTTTAGAATTTTACTTTTGAGAGTAGGTTTTGAATAGACTCACAGTTCTGCTAGTAAACTAAACCTATTTGCTGACCTCTATACACGTAATACACACGTAATATGCGTACATACATACATACGTAATATGCATGATTTTAATAATTTTTGTGCCTCCTTCAAAGCTCAAAGTGTCCTGGTTCAGATGATAAATTACAGTGTCACTCTCTACATTTGTCTTTCATGTAAAGATACGAAGAGAGAGCTTCTGTTCTTTGGATCAAATTCAGACTGTTTCTTGTCTTATTTATTGAAGTGCGGTCAATCACAATGTGTCAGTTTCTGGTGTGCAGTGTAATGTTTCAGTCAGACTGTTTCCTTAATTACTGTTAATTTATGCATGTGGAGCTGGATCCCAGCTGGGATTGACTGGTTTCTCAGGGTGGGTTACACTGAAGCCTGCAGCTCGCTCTCACATTCATTCCCCTTTCCTCCATCCCAGGAGAGGCCATCATTTCCTTCCATCTGCACCCCCCGCCCCTCCCCAGGGGAATCCTGTCTCTTAGGCAGGGATTGAGCGCCTCCAGAATGGGTCCCTGTGCGGGTCTGCAGCCTTTGCGGGAGCGCCTGGCAAATGCCTTCCTTTCCCTTCGGAGGAAGTCATGACAAGCTGCTGTTTGTCTGCTGCTGGGCGTGAGTGTTGGAGGAGGAAGCACGTAACTGCGGCTGCTACTGGCAGCATCCTGACATCACCGGGGAGCCTGCCTTAGCAGAAGCCAATGCCTCGGATGGCGGAGCGAAGAGGCAGAGAGAATCCAGGCCTGGATGATACCTCTGAACTTTTGGCTTCTGGCCTTCTTGTTTTGTGAGCCAACTGGTAACCTTATTGTATAAGTGTTTCTCCTGAATTGAGTGGTCCATCACTTGCAGATGAAGGCAGCTGAGATGAAACGTTTTCCCAGAAGAAGCTGTGTCCTCACCATCCTCCCGTAGTGCCCGTTTCCACACTTACACGCAGACAGAGGCTGTCTACTCTCTCCACACGCATAGGAACAATGCTTTTTAAAAAAAATAATAAGTAACGATTCAAATAATGAACAAATGATTACATACCTACAACGGCCTAGGTGTTGTCGATGGGATTTAGGAAACAGACAACGGAAGGAGACAAGGTTTCTGCCTTCAT